GAGAGACAGGAGAGAGAGGAGGGAGAGAGAGGGGCTCCAAAGTGCCATCCACAGGAAGCCATCTGGGAAGTGAATCCAGACAACACTATGGAAAGAGTCCAGCTGAGCCCTTCCAACTTTTGGGCCCATAAAATTAGGAGCACAAGAGTTAGTTGTTTCCCGGATTCTGTGTTCAGGGCAGTTTGATTGTAGACAATCGACTACTGGGAAAGGATCCTAGGGACTGATGGCTCTTCTAGGACAAAGTCTTCCATGGAGCCCGCAGGCCTCACAGGCCTCATTCCCAACTCAGAGTGCACAAGGCCGCCCCTTCCCCACCAGCACTTCCCCTTCAGAACCACACTGCATCCTGGAAACCAGCTGATAGAGAACACGGAACTGGCTGAGTAACAATGGTCCTGCCCCAGGATTCCCTGCAGGTGGAGCGAGCCAGGCGTGCTTTGCTTCCCCCAGGGCTTACCTTGCCCAAATGGCCTTGCGGCTCACCCGGTGGCTGCCGACCCTCAGGTGTGGCCAGGTTTAGGCTCATGGTGAAAGCGTCCACTTCACGCACACGCGTAAGCTGGCTGGGTGACTTGTATTCCTGTTCCTTTGAAGAAACATTTTCTTTCTTTCTTCTTCTCCCCGCCCCCCCTTTTCCCTTTTTGGGGGGTAATTAAAAAAACTGAACTGCTTATGCCAGCAGCATTGTGTGACCCTTAGCCTAAGGCTTATTTCTATTGCTCATTTCTTCCCTGCCCACAAAAAAGAACATAAAATCTGACCTCCGGGCAAGGCCCCTGCCTTCCTCAGCAGGGGGCTTTCCTATTTTGTTGTTGTTGACGACTCTGGGACAAATTCAGTTTCTGTTGCTGATTTTTGGATCTCGCTGGTTGACTTGCAACTTCACTAAAACATCAGCCTGTTTGGAAGTGCCGCCTGCCTTCCTGCTGCTGCCTACACATTTTCAACGGTTGGATTGGAGCAATCCTGGCAGGGCAGGGTGTGCGTGGATGCAGCTGTGTCTGAATTCCCTCCAGGTGTTTCAGATCCAGGGTGAGAAGGCAACTGGGGTGAGCAGAGGGAGCCTGCAGGCTCCAGCACCTGCCACTGGCTAGGTGTGTTAGGATGGCTTTGAGTCTCAGTCTTATCATCTGTAAAATGGGGCCCTGAAACAAGACCTGTACAGCAGCAGGCAAAGCAGGGAGCCGCTTCCTGGATCCTCACGGGTCTGAAAGTCATGAGGAGGAGGAGGATGACCGTGGTGATGAGCTTGGGTACACTTGGCTTTCCCGATGACGGGGAAGGCGCTGGAACTTGACACAGTTCTGCTCTCTCCCCTCTGGGCCAGAACTGGGTTCTTTGCAGAGAGGAGAGGTGATGACTTTATTTCCCTTCTGCTCCAAAGGGGGACTCATGGGCTGCTCGGTGCTGTCAGCACACACATGGAATTATCCTCTCCCTAAACTGATTATGAAATGGGACTGTGTTGATTGGCCCAAATGAAAACAAGCAACAACAACGAAGATGGAGACTACAGATCTGAAGTGTGTGGGCTCAGCAGTCCCTCATCTGGCCTTGAGCTCAGATCCCCTACTCAATAAGCTATACGATTTGGTGTATGCCTACATCTCGATTTGTTTGCCTATAAAATGGGGACAATGCCTGTGATCAACTGATGGAATACCCACCCCGAGGCTGGTGAAACAAGACAGCCCAGGTCTGTTGTGTGGTGACAAAGGGCTGGTGAAGGGGCTGTGACCTCCTGGCCTTGTGCCAGCCTAGGGGCTGCACAGTTGGTGCAGGTTCAGCCTGAAAGACATGATGGCCAGGCCACAGGGGGAGATGCCCCAGTGGGGGCACATGCTAGAGGCAGGTGATTCTCTTTCTTGGGCCATTCAGACTTGGACACTTGGACAAAGTGCCTGGTAGCGGCAAAGGCCAGGGGTGGTTCTTTTGCTTCTCTTCACACCCCCCCCCCCCCTTGCCCTGCAGCCAGAAGCAAACAGCCCATACAGGGCAGGAGTTCCCACGGATATGAAACGCCCTCTCTTGGCCAAAGACGACACTGCGTCACTGCAAGCCATTTACTTAACACCTCCGTTAGTGCTGGAAGAAAAAAACCACCATGGCCTGGTACAACTCCTGTTTCCCAAAGTCACAAACAGACAGAGCTAGCCGGCCAAGCCCACGTGGGGCAGGCTCTGGGGACCAGACGGGGCTGCCCTTCCTAAGGAAACGGCCACTGGAGGCATTGTTGTCCCTGACGGGTCAGCAACGCTCCTGACCAGGTTCTAGCTAAAATGTTTTTCCTTTGTCTGCTGCGTGTGAAGAATCTGCCTGCTTGCCTGCATGAGTGTTTTCTGTTGGTTTAGTCTCGGATGTCAGCAGTCCCTCTCTCCTGGCCCCTGTGGTCGGAGAAGCACGGGGCTATTTATTGATACAAAGGGGGAGGTGTTCAGATCATCCTGTTAAGATGCAAAGCTCAAGATAAACATCAGAGCTTTATCTGGAGACACACACCCTTCCTCAAAGGAAGGCCCAGGCGTAAATGTGTGCGGAGGACTCAGCCAAGCAGGGGAACTATTTTTAATGAATACCTTTGCTTACATGTCAGATGGTGGTAAGTACCCCATCCACACTCACAGGCATCCTCTCTCTCCTCAGGGGTGAGCAGGGGAACCTGGGCAAAGAACACTCTTGGAAGCCAGCTTAAAAGAAAAAAGGGGGGATAGTAGACGGGGGACCCCTCCCACACACAGTGTGAACACAACAGAATACATCAGCCAGCGGGTTCAATGTACAGAGTAGGCCATTTTATGCTTTTGGGGAGGGAGCGTTGAGATCATGAATACAAATGACACAGTTATAACAGAAGCAACAGGTGAGGACATCTTTAGGCAGACACGGATGACACGGGCCACAGAGGAAAATACACAGCGATGCCTTTCACGCATCTCGGCCAGGAGCTGGGACAGCCACGCACGAGGTCACTGTCTTAGAGTCATGGAAGAGTTGTGGCGTGCCAGGATAACCCACCCAGCATGAGATAGCCACAGTTGACATGCTGTCCCCGTGGCAGAGGCTGGCTTGCTGGTCTTCTGGCCGGTGAGAGCAGAGCTGGAACTCATAAGCCCACTCTCTTGCAAGCCACAGATCTTTCTGGCTACTTCCTCGGGCACACCGACGGCTCACCCGCATCCGAGGGTGTGTGTATTTCCGGCACGGGATTGGGCTTTGGGTCCATAAGTGCTGGTTGTGTTTCTGGGTGAAATGACTCTGGAACGAATTGCGGGAGAGTAGCTAAAAGGCGGCATCTTCGTCTCCGGTCTTGCTAAGTGGATAGATAACGGTGGACGCATTCTTCTTGGCCGGTCGCTAGAATAAGGATTAGCAAACCGTGGCCTCAGAGCCAAATCCAGCTGGGTGCCTGTTCAATAAAATTGGACTGGCCCGGGGCCAAGGCTTTCGGGTTTCCGTGTCTGGGGCTGCTTTTGTGCTCGAGCAGCAGTGGCAGAAATGGCACGGCCCGTTAACCTGAAAGGACTGCATTCACCATCTGGCTCCTTATGGGGGAAGTTTACAGACTACTTGTTCCCCGTGAACCTGGCCTGCCTCTCTCCCTCCTGACAATATGGACTCCTATTTCTACACCGGCAGCAAGAAAAGATAAGCTTTCATTTGACAGCTCTGGAGGGGCAAAGGCTGAGCTCCGGGATGTTTTATTTTAAAAACTGCAAGAACAACGACAAAAAACAAAAACCCACAAACAAAACAAAACGAACTGCAAGAACCCCACAGAGCTGAGCCTTCTATGAGAATCCTCTTCCCCTCATTGCATTTTTTTTTTTTTTTTTTTTTAGTCTTGGCCTGTCTTTCTCTCCCATGTGGACTCCTCATTGCTAAATTTCAAAGACACCAGGAGCTGGAAAAATCCTGTCCCTTGGAGATTTTTTGACAGGCTCCTCCATTCATGCAAAAGGTCAGCAGGCTTTGCTGGAAGTTACCGACGAGTCTTTCTCATTTTCTCTTCTCCTTGGGAAAAGCCAGGCTTCCAATTTGGCCTCTCGGAACAGCTGCTGCAGTATTCTTGAAGGATCTTGGCTGAGGGCTGTGGGGGTGGGGCCAGAAAGCAAAATCCCAAGGGAGTATCGGTCCCATGGGCGCCTCCGGACGCGCGTCCTGGGGGTGAGGGCAGCGACAGGTACGGCCACGCTCATGTTGCATCCCTTAAAGGATGGCCTGTTGAATCTGCTCCCCCTTTGGGCTGGTTTTGAAAGATCGAGTGGCTGTGTTTGAAAGCCATTTATTGAGACGACCGTGTGGGCGTCACCGGATAAATTAAAAAAAAAAAAAAAAAGGTGAAGTCGGGATGCGAAGCAGTGGTTAAAATATAAACACACAGGGGCCATTCTCTCGACAGTGCGTCCTCCTCCTCCTCCTCTCGCAGACAGAACAATGGCTCAGAAATGACCCAACCCCCCCCCCCCCCCCCGAAACCCTCCCTGGCAGCTCCCTGTGAGGAACTGACTTTTTGTTTGGCACCAGTCAACGCCCTTGGCTCCTGCCTCCTCCCTGCCCCCCCCCTCCCCACATCGCCAGGGACATCCTGCTGCGCTCCTGCCCTGCATGAGGGCAGCACCTGGCGTACCCCCCCACCCAGCCCCTTGCCCAGTCCCACCTCACCTGCCCCACCACGGAGTGCTCTGCGGAAGGAAAGAAGACAGAAGGGCGGGAGGATGGGGTATGAGGGAGGGTACTTGCACCCCCTTGAGTGTGCACAGTGTCCGGGGTCCCCGTATCACTGCCACTTCTTTGCCTCATCTGTTCATCCCATCAGCGTACACCAGCACGAAGTCCTCAATCCCTCACAAAAGTTCTGCATGTGGCATCCCCCTTTCTTGAATGGTAAATGTTCTGGAATGTCCATAGAGAAGATAACGGACGGCATGGAGGAAAAAAAAAAGAGAGAGAGAAAGAAAAAGAAAAAAAGAAAAAGCTCATGGCTCGCCACTATGCCACATTTCACCTCCGGATGTCGGAATACTCAGACTGTTCGTCTTCCCACTCACTGCTTCCAGAAGGTTCCTGGGCCCCAGGGCTGCTGCCTCGGCTCTGGGCGTGGGTGTTTGTGTGGTTCCTGCTCCCTCGCTCGCCCTTGGCTCCCCTGCTGGTCTCCTTACTGCTGCTGGGCTCCACAAGGTGGGGCCCGGCTTCCCTGGAGTGTGCCCGAGGGAGCTTGGTCCTGTCCGCTTGGGGCAGGTGCTGGGGTGGTGCCGTGGGGGGCCTCTGGATGGCAGAGGTGCAGAAGCTCAGAATGGAGCACAGGCTCCCCCAGTTCTGCTCACACTGAGCCTGGACGCTGTGGGTGACCGCTTCCTTCACCTCCTCCCCGCAGGTCAGCAGCAGGTTCACCAGGTCCACGTAGGGCCTAGAGTGAGAGGCAAGAGATGCAGTGAGAATGGGGCAAGACCTGAACAGGTTACACTCCACATCTTTGTCTGCTTCTGGCCGAAGCTCACGATGACGCAGGGGTTTCTGGAAGCCACAGGCTGTACCTGCCTCTGCCATTGAGAGGGGACAGGGCGCAGATGGACCACAGGGCCAGGCAGAAGCCTCTCCTTCTGGATTGGCCCTTTCCATGTCGCTTTATTCCCTGGGTCAGCAGATGTGACCATCTAACCACCTTGATTTTTTGGGTCTATTCATTTTGGGGTGATATGACTGATGGATAGGGGCCCACTTGTGGAACAGGAATAACATTTTTTGAAACAGAGATTTTGGGGACAGAGTCAGAGGGCTCAGGCTACTCAGGCTTGTCTTGGGAAAATGACTGACATTCATCGCAGGGTGCGGATGCCGTGAGAGTGGAAGGTGGGGAGCGTGCATTTTGTGTGCACCTGGCATGTGGCGGCCCAGGCACTGCCTCCTATAGTCCTTTAGCCTCCCCCAGCGAGGTGTGGGATGTGTCAGGTGTGTACAACCTGCACTCTTAAGCAGCCCTCAGCTACCAGAGGGTCTGGATTGAGGACAATCTCTCTGGAATGTGAGATCCTTGGTGATAACAGGGCCACTGTTGTCCTCACTGAATCCGGTCCACTCAGGCTGTTGGGCCACAGTCTGGGTCAGCTTCTGTTTGTGGGCTGCTAGGTAGGTGTCATCAGGTCTCTGTTGCATCCCAAGTCCCCTTGCTTCCTGGATGGACGCACGAAGGTGACTTCTAAGAACTTCTTGGTTTGGGTAGACAGGAGGAATACACTGGCTGACGGAGAACAAGCTGCTGTCTGAGGCCCACCGGCTGCCTCTGGAGTCTGTCTGATGGGCTGACTGCTGACTCTTGCCCAAGGTAGACCCTGGTGCTGCTGGCCAAGTTGCTCATCTCCCAGGCACAAGGCCATCCCAGGGAAATGTTCCGACGCCTGTCGCTTTCTTTCATTTTTTTGGAAGTTAGCAACTGCTGCAGGGAGCTCCAATTCAGTGCTGAGACAGCAGCAGGACGTGGGGGCCTCCCTGTAGTTGCCAGCCTGGGACAAGCAGATCCACGGGAGAGGTGGAGGTGCAATCTTGCTGATGTTCTCAAGGCTCCTTGTAAGTGTCAGGGAGACTCTTTCGGGGTCCTTGTCCAGGGTGTGCTGTCTGCCAGCTTAGCTCCTGAATCCTCCAAGGTGCATGCAAATGCAAGAAGGGCTGGACTAGCTCATGCTGCCCTCTGCCCTCAGCTGTCTCCTAAGCAGCAGGCTGTGAACTGGGCGGGGGTGGAGGAGGCAGTGTGTGTGCGCGCTGAGCCACGCTAATCTAAACCGTGCTTGGAGCTGGCACGGTGCCTTCTCGGGCTGCAGGCTCAGCCTGCTCAGCTGGGTGTCAGCAGTAAAGCTAAAGGATTTGGAAAAAAAAAAAAAAAAAAAACCCTTGGAGGGGGACGTGCCTGGAGGCTTCAAACCAGGGGCGACTGCCAGCACCCGGACAAGGCAGTTCGGAGGCCAGGGCAGGCTGGCGGCAGCTAAGGGGGAGGCGGGCGATCAGGCAGGAAGGGAGGGGTGCAGGGAGCCCTGGCAGGGGTGAGGAGAATATGGGAGAGGGGGAAGTCGGGGAGCTTGGAGGAGCTGCTTTAACTGAACAAGCATGCTTTCGGGGTGGGTAGAGCTGGGTTGAGAAATGGGACTGTTGTGGCTTGTGGGGTGACTAGACTTGCCCCCTGCCTAGAGTGCACAGCAAATTCACTTCTCCCTTTCTTTGCGAGCAACACCACAGATCGTCAAAAGGCCCTTTTGCTAGTTGAAGACAACAGAGCCCTTCCTTCCACTGAGATGGGTGGGAGAGTATACCACCAGAAAGCTTGGGCAATTCAGCCTGAGGAGCAAGTTGCCATCCTGTGTGGTGGTGGTGACATCAGAAGGTAACAGGTCAAGTCATACTGCTGGGGAGCTGGAGTTATCCAAAATGCCCCTGCAGCCAGAGGACCACATGCAGCATTCTTTTTTTTTTTTTTAAAGATTTATTTTTATTATTTTGTTCATTGGAAAGGCAGATGTACAGAGAGGAGAAACAGAGAGGAAGATCTTCCGTCCGATGATTCACTCCCCAAGTGAGCGCAACGGGCCCATTCTATGCCGATCCGAAGCCAGGAGCCTCTTCCAGGTCTCCCACGCGGGTGCAGGGTCCCAAAGCTTTGGGCCGTCCTCGACTGCTTTCCCAGGCCACAGGCAGGGAGCTGGAAGGGAAGCGGAGCTGCCGGGATTAGAACCGGCGCCCATATGGGATCCCAGTCGTGCAAGGCGAGGACCTTTAACCACTTGCGCCACCGCGCCGGGCCCAACACATGCAGCATTCTTAAAAGGGATCTGACATGGCACTTCTGGAGCAGGCAGGGCTGGGGAGCCTTTGCAAGTTCCAGGAAGAAGACCCTACAATGCCTTAGTGCTGGGCCTGGTGCGATGGCTCATTGGCTAAATCCTCACCTTGCACATGTTGGGATCTTATATGGGCATCTATTCATTTCCCAGATGCTCCACTTCCCATTCGGTTCCCTACCTGTGGTCTGGAAAGCAATAGAGGATGGCCCAAAGCCTTGGGATTTTGTACATGTGTGTGGGAGACCTAGAAGAAGCTCCTGGCTCCTGGCTTTGGATTGACTCAGCTCTGGCCATTGCAGTCACTTGGGGAGTGAACCAGCAGATGAAAGATTTTTCTCCTTGTCTCTATTTCTCTCTGTGAATCTGCTTTTCCAATGAAAATAGATAAATCTTAAACAAAAAACAAAAACAAACAAAAAACCCACAGTGCTTTGCCATCTTAAATGCTGGAGGGGGCTGCAACTTGTCAACACTTTCAGTTTTTCCAAAGATTTCCACTCTCCAACAAAACGACAAAAGAGCCCTTGGGCTCCAGGGGTGTGTTTCAGACATGCTACGTGATAAGCCAGTGCCCTGTCACTCCTGTAGGAGGCCAGTGCCCTGTCTGTGAAGGGCTCACTATGGGTAGAGGATACAGGAGCTTGTGGGCATTGCTCAGCCGTGGGCTCTTTGAAGGAGACACACTTGTCCGGGTTCTCCGTCTGACAGCACAGGGACCCAGGGACCTTGGGTAGGTCAGGCTGGGGCAAGAAAGGCCAGCAGCAGAGGAGTTGCTCCCAACTTTGGTCATATGTAAAGAGTACTTTGGAAAAAAAAAAAAAGCTCATGAGGAAGTGGAATGAATGAAAAGATAATATCACACATATTTGGAATCCATGTGTAGCCTTAATGAACTGAAAAGTAAGAATTGTAACATCTCAGTGGCAATAGTTACTTCCATCTCCTGGTGTCCCTGGGAAAGTGAATGAGGTGACTCCTGTAAGAGCCCTGGCCAAGCACCCGGCATAGGAAAACCAGCTGCTGCTACTATGGTTGTTGTCGATACTGTGTTGTCATTGTTCCTTAGCTGGTGTTTGTAAACGTGCAAATATTGCATACAGCGTTGGCACCATTCAAGAAAAAGACAATCTTGTTTTGCTCCCATTATCCAACCAGGGTAGTGGGGCTTCTGTAAGTTACCTGGCTTTTCTACCCAGTGTAAAGTGACAACCACTGGTGGTGTTGGGGTCAGGAGTGGCTAGCTTAGGTGCCAGAGTTAATACAATTGCATACATGTGGCCCGATGAGGCCTGGTGGAAGGACCCACGGTGCCTGCCTCGGTGCCAGCTACTTAGATTGGATAGCCTAGCTGCTGGCTCGCTTTCTGATCTGCAGCTCTAAAAAAGGGGCCGCTGTTGCCTCCCCAGGTCTGGTTGATGGGTTGACCACTTGGCCACTTTTTGGGTCCCGTGGTTGAGATACTTGAAAGAAGTGAGCTGTCTTGCGTCTGTCAATGAACTTAAAGTTCCCGAGTGGGTGTATTTAAGCACATCAGGGACAGTCTCGGATGCTTGTTCCGTGTTTTCAAGGGCATTCATGTGCTAGGATGGCTTGCACTGTCTGAGGGAAGGGAAGAGGGTGTGGGGGTGCGCAGAAAAGCTTTCGCTCTCCACTTCCGGCTGTTAAGAGTGCTGGGCTCAGAAGCTTGCTAGCCCCTATCCCAGCTGCGCGTCTCCCTCACTGTGTCTTGACCCCAAAGAGTCTCATTTTTCTCATCTGTATAGTGGAGGGGCTAAAGGAATTCAGCTCACAAGGATGTGGTAAGGACCAAGTGAACAGCTCTATAAAGCACTTAGCATGCTGCCCGGTACTCACGCAGTGCTTAACAAGTGTCCTTGGCTCCTGGTTGTCAGGACACAGCCATGGCTGTTCCACCCATGGGGAGAACCACTGTCAATCCTGGCTAAGGATCAGTGGTGAGTACTCATGAATGAACATATTTCATGCTTACTAAAGACCAAAATGATAATAATAATAATCTCCTTGCTTCTGCTTGTGACTTGCAAAGCGATGACTGTAACCTTTCACTTTTCCTGAACGCCAGCAGCAAAGGGGATGCCTTAGGGCTGTTGTAGCTTTCTGTGGCCCACGGCAGCCACCTCCAATTTGCACCAGAGAAGAGCGTGCAGAAGCAAAGCCTCACACTGAACACAGCCCAACGCCACTGCTCTGTCTCTGCAGGAGCGGGGCCGGACTTACTCATGCAGCAGTAGGTCCTTGAAGTGGATCATCTCCACGATGACCCGGATGTTCTCCTGGGCGGCTGAGCACAGGTCATGTTTGAGGTAACATTCCCGCTGTAGCTGGATCACCATCTCCTTAATGGCAGGGCACTTGCGGCTTATGCAGCCGAACCTGTGACGCAGCGCGTGAGCCTTGCACTTCAGGGCGTCTTTGATGAATGACTTGCCCTGGCAGCACAGGACAGAGAGAGAACAGAAGTGGCTTAGGTACAGATGTGCACACATTCACCCTTTTTGGAGGCGTCCGCAGTGCCGCTTCTTAGTCTGATGTTCTCCCAGGTGACAGCTCCTACTGTACCAAGAAGTTAATACAACCCTTCCAGCAGTGGGCCAGAAAGGATGCTACTCCTGCAAGCCAACACATTGCTGCCCACCTCCCCGCCCCTCAAATGCATGTCCATCTCTCCTCAAACTGGGGTTCCAGTGGCCCCATGGCCATCTGTCTTTGGGGTGGCCACCCCAAAGCATGGCGATTTCTTGGGAACTCGAAGCCCACAGCTCCATTACGGCCGCAAGGTGACTATCTGTCCAAATCTCACACTAGGTCCCTTTTTTTCCATCTCCTAGTGGCACCATGATCGAGAGCTATACCTGTGTCTCCTTCTGCCCCAAACCCATCCTTAGGGTTCAAGGAGGAGCACTCTTGTCCCTTTTGGAAAACCATTCTACTCCTTTAAACTGCTGGGATCTCTGGCTCTAAAAGGCTAGCCTGGCAACCTGCCTGGCAGCATCTGGAGTCTGAACTGCCCAGCGACAGGCCCTCCCCCAATGCTTGCTGCCTCTGAGCTGTGAAGGCAGCCAGGCATACATCTGGCTTCCAGTTCTCCTTATCCTAGAAAGGAGGCAGCTGTTGGGGGTGTGCAAATGAGCTTGGACCATCAGCTTCATTATCAACCTCCTGGGGCCCAGAGGCAATTGTGGGATACCTTCAGGAACCCTAGGACCCTCCATGACCAGCCAGTGTCCCTGAGGTCACCCCTCTGTTTTTAGACCAGCCTGGAAGTCATTGAGTTTGGAAAGTAAACCGGTTTAGGTTGGAGGTGGGAAGGCAGCCAGCACGTTTATTTTGGTTCTCCCTTTAGAAGCAACTGCCATGCCTGTAGAGAAGTGTCTGATGGCCGAGGAACCACGCATTCTCCATTGCTGTCTGCATGGCCCCCTCCTCTTGCAGCTTCCCTGTGTGGGAGCCAAACGGGATACAGGGCAGGGTGTGCCAACGTAAGTTGTGTGCTGGGAATACACATGAAAGGGCTGCCTGTGACTGCAGAACCAGAAGAGAGGAAGACTTGGGCAGGCAGATGAAGGCTGCAACCACGTGCTTGGATGTTGTTCCCCCATATCCCTTGGAGTTGCCTTGTGAGGCACTGCCTTCCTCCGGATTTCCCATTACGTTTCCTAACTCCAGCTAATCCAGAGGGAATGCTTTATTAGGGCGCCTCCAGGAATTCCTGCCCTAGTTTCTGTTCTCCTACCCCCGCCTCTTGACATTTCACATCCTCTGTAGTTTAGGCCATGGGTCCTGCTACATCCCTTCATAGTGCCTACAGCATGCTCTGACAGGTCAGGCTTTGTCTGGGCTGGAGTGGAGGGTGACTGGTGATGGGCACAGACGACACTTAATTGGCTATCCCTGCCTCCCCTCGAACACTGAAGTGGCAGAGAAAATGTATGAGTTATGAGAGCAGGTGCTTTTCAACAGGGTATAGAGGCCAGGAAGAGAATGCAGAAAGTGTATCTGGTGCCAACTGCCACCTAAGCACGGATCTGATTTCTCCTCGCTGGATCCCTGGATGACTTGTTCCATAACTCAGGAGTGGGAATCTGTTCCCGTAGGCTTGCAGTATGCAGGCAGTCAGGCTTACACACACACACCGAATTCCATGCAAGGAGCATCCTTTCTTACGATTTTGCTATCTGAGCCATTTTGCCTGTGTAGACACTGTGTGGGAGTGTAGAAAGATGGAATCTAATAGCAGCTCCAGCGATCAGAACTTAGGTGCAGCCGGGAGATCCTGGCACCCTGACATATGCCCACCAGCGTGTCCCATACTAGTGCCAAAACAATCCTGGCAGACAGCTCAGGAAATGTGTCCAATATCAATCACGCCACACAAAACCCCAAACATTCTTCATATTCTCTAGAGTTTTTACCTGGGCATCAAATTTTCCAGCGTTGTGCAGAAAAGTCATGCAAATCCCATGTAAGCCTCGGATCTCACAGGAGTTGTTCTCGAAACATTCAAACACGCCACAGCCCACCTCACCAGCGTTGACCAAACAGTGCTGGATCTCTGCTACAAGAGAAATTACACGTAAATGAATACAGAACTTGGAGCCATGCTGGGAAATGCAGACAGGTCAATTGGAATAACAGTTAGCAACCGCTGAAGGAAAAGTTAATGGAAAAAAAAAGTCATCAAGTCTCCCTGCCTGTAAATGCTGGCATCCTGGATGGGTGCTGCTTTGAGTTCCAACTGCTGTGTTTCTGGACCTGCTCAACCAGAGGATGGCTCAAGTCCTTGAGTCCCTGTACCCATGAGAGACCTGGAAGAAGCTCCTGGCTTCAGATCATCTCTGGTCATTGCGACCATCTGGGGAGTGAGCCCATGGATGGAAGATCTCTCTATTTCTCCTCTCTGTAACCCTGCCTTTAAATTAAAAAAAAAAAAAAAACAAAAAACAAAAAACACATAAACCTAAAGTAATGACTACTTTAGGACCACAAAAGCCACAATGTCATCACTGAACCAACTTTTGAAAAATACCTGTATTTGTAAAAATTTGCTCAAGGTTTACAACCATCACAACCAATATATATGCTTTCTTTTTAAAAACTCTTTCCCATTTTTATTCAACTATTTGTGGACCCAGCTTCAGAACAGACCCCACCCCCAGGTCAAAAGTCAGAGGTGAAGACCGCAGACTCCAGTATCAGTGAAACCCTTTAACTGCACGGATCCCTAGAAGCTGCTGCTGTGAAGTCACAAGCCGTTTGCCTCCAGATCCCTTCAATGTGAGCGTGCAAAAAAGCAGTTTCAATTCAGCTTTATGATTCAACAGCTAAAAATCAAAACAAAATTCCTATTCAGCGGCAGCGCCTCCAAACCATCGCATTAAAAATACCAGGCTAGGGAAGCTGCGGTTTGCCAAGCAGGCTCAGCGATCCAGGCACAGCGAGGAGCAGCCCTCCCCGGCGAGCTATCTCCTTAATCCCTTGGGGGGTCCCCGCGGCCCGGGAGCTCGCGCCCTCTTCGACGGCGGCGGGACAAGTAGCTGGTTGAGTCCTTCTGGCGGGGCAGACTGCGAGGAAAGAACTGTCAGGCTGCCGAGTGCGGAGCCCCCTTGTCCCCTCTTCTCTTTCCAAATTCTCTTGAGTTAAACCAACCACCAAATTACATCAGAAAAGTATATATATATTTGGCAGAAGGGCGGGGTCGGAGCGGAAAATCCGCATTCGGTTGAAATTTAGTGAGAGAACAAGGAGCGTGTATTTCGCCGGCGGTCACCCACGACCGAGACTCGCGCTCAGTTCTGAGGGAAAGCTCCGAGAGCGGCGAGGGGAGGCGGGGGCACGGCTGTTGGGGCGGGGCGTGGGCCTGGGGTGTTGCCGGGCTCGGCCTGTGGAGGTGCCGGGCTCCTGTGGAGGTACCGAGTGACCCCACGCCTGGCCCTGGCGCGCGGGCTGGATGCCCTGGGCCGCGCTGCGCTCACTTGGGGGCGTCCCTAACAGGCACTCCTGCGGTGAGCGCACGCACGCCGGCGCCACCGCGTGCGCGCGGCCCCCAGAAATGCAGCAGTGGGGGGCGGGTACAGAGCGGTAGGACCTGAGGCAGACTTCCTCTCTCTCCTCAGAGCCGGGAAAACGGCCAGCTCCTGTGCTCTGCACGCCCGGCTCCGCTCTGCAGCTTGACCGTGAGCCGAGAGCCGGCGGGGCCCCCGGCGGCGCACGACTGGGCTTCTGTCACCAGGTCTCCGCTCGCCGACCTGTCTGGGAGCCGGGGACCGCGGCAGCACCGCAGAGGTAACGCTTTGGCGCCACTCCGCCTCCCCTTCGGCAAGCAGTGTTCTTCACCAACCCCCCTCCCACCAGGGGCAAAGTTGGCCGTGGCAAAGTTCTGGGCTGTGGTGCATCTTTTGGGGGGAGGTGAGGGGAGCGGGGCAGCGGTCCTGCTGGGACTGGCCAGGAGAAGTTTTCCGCGTGCCCGGCGCTGCCCAGCTCCGGGGACTCTTTTTAGGCTTAACCTCCCGCCAGACTGGATGAAGTGTCCTTTGCCCCCCGGCTACGGACCAGGAGTAGGGAAGGGGGTGGAGGGGAATAGTACTGGCAACGTCAGGCGCTGCTTCATTTCCTCTCGCCCGGGGAGTACACCAACAAGTCCTGCCCCAGCCATTTCATCACCCGGTTAGCACGTGCGGATTCCGGGCGCTCGGAGCCCGGCGCGGATCTCGCCTCGCGCTTTCCTTTGCACAGACCGCGCCACCGCGAGAGTTTGCGCGGCCCGAGGTGGGCGCCGGGGGGCTCGGCGCAAACCGCCCCGGGCGTGCCGGCGTCCCCCCTCCGCCCGGGCGCACGCGTTTACCTGTGTTCTGCAGGGATAGGCGGCCTTTCTGCTGGGAGCCCCTGTCTTGGGGACCCTCGGGCGGGTTGGTGGCGTCGGTCCCCCGTGCCGGTTCTAAGGTGGCCAACACCAAAGCCAGCGTCACGAACTGGCCGAGCCTCTCGGCACACATGTTTCTTGGTGCAAACCTCCCGCCAGGAGACCTGGATTCTTTGTGCGCCCCTCCTCCTCCACCTCTTCCTCCTCCGCCGCTTCCCCTCCTCCTCCTCCTCCCACTCTTCCTCTTCGCTCGCCTTTCCCTCCTCCGGGCGGCCGCGGCTCGGGTGGAGGTTACCCAGCGCCCTCCCGTAGCTCTCCGGAGAGCATGTGACCAGGCCGTTAGCAGCGCGGCGAGTGCCCGGCAACGGCGAGAACGGTGCCTGAAATATCCCTGGAAGCTCTGGTGTCACTTGAATGAAGGAGTCGAGCAGGTGTTGTCCCGGCGGCTGGACCAATCCGAGACCCCGGCCCGTTTGACAACACAGCCGGGAGGCGGGGCCTGCGTGCAACTACTCCAGGAGGAAGCCGAGCGCCGCTGGGAGCGCCCCAAAGTTGCCGACCTGGCGGCGGCCGGACATTTGCGTGCGCGTGTGAACGCGCGTGTGTGTATGTGTACGTGTGTAGAGAGCGAGACCGGAGGTGCGTGTGCAGAGGCGCCAGAGCAATGGCCGAACGCACTTAGAAAGAGCGAATCCCGGTTCGCGTCGCGGGTACAGGGGACCGCTTGGGCTGGGACAAAGCTTCCCAGTGCCCTCCTGGCTGGCTCGCCTCACAATATCCTCAGGCTGGGACGTTTTCCTGGTTGCTCAGTTTGGAAACGAGTGCAAGTGGCTGCCCAGAGTCTTGATAGACCGGGTGCGCTGATGCTGTGGGCAAATTGAATCCATGTGGGAATTCCTGACGCTGTCATGCTTGACATTTAAAAAAACTCCCCAAAGCAAAATCCCTCAAACACACTCCTGAAGATGGGAGCAGGAACCTTACAGTATTCGGCCCGAGCGACTGCCGCGTTTTCGCCGTCTTTTCGGCTGCGCTTAGCTGGTCCGTGCAACACCTATGGTGTCGTTTCTCACCCCTCCTCCAACCCAGGCTGATTCCAGGCTGGGCTGCGGGGATCCCAGGTGACAGTTCGGACTTGCATCATTTCCAGGCGGTTGGCGGGGAGGCCCAGGCCTCCCTGAGTCAGCCCGCCGCGGGGCATCGCGTGCCCCGGAGCCCCGAGCTTGAAAGGCAACTTTCCGCGTCTCCAAACACACTCAACCCTGTTCCCAAAGCGCGGTTCGCCACCAAGGCTGTGGGCTGGCTTGAAGTCTTCAGCCGCGGGATGGAAGTGGTGAAAACCAAAACCCTAAAAAACCAATCGGTAAAGGTCTGGGGAAATTCTTGCCACCTCGGTACCAGTTCCCTCCCCAAGCACTGCCCGGGCCGGGGAGAAGGGTGGCCTTTTGCCGCTCTTCCTCCCTCACCCACTACGGGCCAGCGGCGGCGTTCGGAAGAAAAGTTGGGCGCGCTGGGAGCGCTCTTGCCCCCGCCTCGTGTGTACGTGTGCACGCTCACGTCTCCCTCGCGCCGCGCCGGGGACAGGAACTGCTCCCGGTCTCGGCAACCCGACGGCGCAGTCCGGCGGGCGAGCTGGGCTGTGCGGGGGGAGGGCGCGCACGCGAGCGTGGCTGCCCAGCGCCCCGGGACACGCAGACCAGTCGGTACGCTCTCGCCCCTCCCCTGCCGGCTCCACCCTCCTCCCGGTGAACAGGTGAGTCGGGTACCAGCTCCCACCCCCACCCTCTGCGGTAATGTGCCCGCCGGGTTTCATCATCCGCTGCCCAGGGTGACGCACGCCCCCCTCCCCCGCCCCGTCTCCGCCACCGGGCGCACTGCCCTTCTGGTTAGGCTCCCCCTACTCCATCCAGTAACTCGGCTGGGGGAGGGAGTGCGGAGGTACTGGGGGGGCAGGTCATCCTTGCCGCCACCACTGGGACCTGGTAGCACTTGGACTTGGAGAGCAAGAGGGGGCCTAGGTGGCAGCCACTCGTTGCAGCTGTCCCGAGGGTGAGCTGTCTGGAGTCGGGAGGAAGGGATGGGGGATTGGGAGAGCCGTTTGGCACTGGGCGTTTCTTAGGCCAGATGGCCAGCAGCTCCAGGTTTTAAGACCCTCAGTGCATGGTCACGTTGAAGGTCAGCATCTGCTAGGCTCTGAGACCACTGGGGACTCCCTGAGATGATATATCAGTTGTCTTCTTGCTGAAGATGGGATCAAAGCAAGCTGAATTGGGCCGTCTGCCTATCCCACCCCCTGCTTTTGTTTGCTACAGTTACTTTAGGCTCTTCATCTCCTTATGAAAAACCACCTCCTGTAAATTCCTAAGAACTAACCTAGGACTCCACTGACCTAACTCCTCCAGGCCCTGCATTCCCCAGGACCTTGTGGCCTGTCCCTTTTAGGGACTGTGTGTGTCTTGTAGGTGAGAAACCTGAGCAATGGTGGCCCCCAAAAGTCATCTGGCCACTTGACTTGCTGGGAAGGAGACCTGGGGAGCCCACCGTTGATGGATGCAGGCCCTGAGTCTGCTGGGCTTTGGGCCAAGCAGATGGAAGTCCCCACCTCCACACCCTTAGGCCCTGCCTTTCGTCCCTGCCAGGCCCTGGGTCTGCCCACAGTGACAAGTTCATCTTGTTCTGTCCTTGTTTCTCTCCGAACCAGTTGCTTGCTCAGAACCCTGGAAGACTGTATGGTAAGTTAGCATTCAGGGTACTCCTTCTTAAAGGTTGCTCTCTCAGATATCAGCCTAGACACAGTAGCATCTGGGGCATAGCCTCTAGACAAGAATGCCCACTCCAAGGCTTCCCCCAGGGCTGTGAAAATTCTGCAGAATATCTAGGCAGTGTGAGTGTGTGTGTTGTGGGGTGGGAGAGATGTGAAACCCCGTGTCTGCAGGTGGAGGTGGGCCTGCAAGACTCTGGCTGGTGACTGTGGTAACCCCTACTCCCTCCTGATGATTCCTTGAGCTCCAATGGCCTGGCTGGCTGCCGTGATAAACTACTGTAAGGCTAATGTGAATGGAGAACAGATCCTCCGTCACCCACCAAGCTTGTGGCTTTGGCCTCCCTCCAGATGTAAACTCTATGCTGATGGGGATTAAGAGTTGGGTCCAGCAAGGACAGAGTAGCTGATGCTGCCTGTCCTGAGACCCAGTGGGGAGTCTGTCTGGCTGAGCCCTGGTGTGCATGTGGGATCTTAGTCTGCGTCTCCATGGAGAGGCACGTGTGGTCTGCCAGTGACATCCAGAGGCGTCTGTGATGGAGGCCCAGGTGTTGCCCCCTGCCTCTGTGTCACCACCGGCTACCTTGACATGCAAGGAGCAGGTTTCTCTAGGGGACGTAGGTGGCTTAGATTTTGCAAAATGAGGGAGGGTGGTGCTACATAGAAGCAAGGGGAAGAGAATGGGCCTCACAGGTGGGAGGAGCAGGCCCATCGTGCATGGAAGTGGGGGTTGATAGGAACAATTGGGGTGGCCCAGGGAGGTATTCAGTGACAAATTAAGCTGGTAGAGGTCGCTAGTTCATATTAGCTGAGGCCATCTTGACCAGTCTGTGTCCATCTTGGAAGAGCTTGTCCTCTTATCCCAATGATATTAGAGGATTGGACTGCAGGACCCTCTTGGAGGTCTAATTAGGAAGCAGGAAGAGCTGCAGCCCAAGTCTGGCATTATGGAGCAGAGTGGGAGGAAGGGGGAAGCAGTGAGCTGGGATCTTGATGTGGGCAGTTGCTCCCAGTCAGGTTTGAATGGATGAGGCCTTGGGGGATGGGGTCAGTTCTGGGATGCTAAAGCCATGGCTAGGTGGACACATGCTGTCTGAGCTAGGCTTCCTGTGAATGTGGGATTCTGGGTGGACCACATGGCTTGCCCATGGGCGGCTCTGCCCACTCTGTGCCTCACCCCCTTGGGACAGACTCTCTGGGCTGATGGCACCACCTTATGGTCATAAATGGAACTAACTCACCCCATAGTCAAATTTACCTGATTCAAGGGCCTAAAAGGAAATCTCTTTCTTTCTCTCCAATTTTCTTACTTTTTTTTTTTTATCTCCCTTTCAAAACAGCATGGTTTAATTCTCCCATCAAGAGCATCTTTTTCGTCTTTTTCCTCCATCCATTGCTGTCAGTCTTGGTGAACCTGCTGTTGCTCTGATTATGCCTTCTGAGCCTGGAGCTTTGGTGAAGGTAGTGGAAGAAGGTGTTGGTGTGAAACTGGTCAGGCAGAACAACAAACCGCTGTTATTAATCCTCCAACATTCTTGCAAGCTTCCTAAAAAAAAAAAAAAGCCCTCTTACTTTTTTTCTTTCCTTATCTTGTGCTGGTTGCTTCATTAAATAGGTTCAGGTTAAAGAAAACCAAGCCTTTACTATATGAATATCTGGGTTTATTAGGACGACAACTAATTTTTGTTGTAATGGTGCATGCTTCAATAGCATGGTGGATTAAGAAAGTTGTTGTAAGGCTAGCCTAGAAACCCAGTTCATTTTATTAATTGGAGCAAAATAGCTTCTGAGTCCCCCAACAACCAACTCTAAGTGTGGCAACACAACATGTTAGTGAATTGGGCATTTGCTCTGTGTCATAGATCAACAGACAAACGGATCAAGGATTGAGAGGAATGACTGGACACACACAAAGGATGAAAACGACTAAGAAATCCCAAGGATATCATGTCCCTCACAATAAACCTCCCTACGTACTGGGAAGAACACACAGCAGTCAGCAGCCAGTGTCTGATTGCGGTCTGACTTTTAACATTCTTATTCATCGTTATTGTTATTTTAAAGATTTATTTATTTTTATTTGGAGGGAGATTTACAGAGAGAAGTGTCACAAACAGATATCTTCCATCTGCTTGTGTACTTCCCCAATGGCCGAGGTGCAAAGGCAGGAACTTCTTCCAGGTTTCCTGTGTGGGTGCAGAGTCCCAAGCACTTGGCCGTGCTGTGCTACGTTCCCAGGCTGCAAGCAGAGAGTTGGATGGGAAGTGGAGCAGCTGGGCCACGAACCGGGACCCGTATGGGAAGCCGGCACTTGCAGTCAGAGGACTGGCCTGTTAAGCCACCGTGCAGTGGTGACCATGGCCCAAGCTCTTTGGTTACCCCAGTAGCCCAAATTTTTGTGGTGTCATCGTGGCTGGACTTTTTGGTAGTACCTTGATCTATATGCTGAATCTCAAAAGTCCTATCGTTTCCTTTCCTTTTCCTTTCTATTTCCGGTTGTACACTGAGACAAACTGCAGGGGGAAATATCTCAAGTTGGGGCTTCCTGCTCTCTGTGGAGAAGACTGGTTGAGCCTTGGGGTTTGGGTTTATGGAGAGCTCTTCCTGGCTGAGTTTCAGCTG